GAAGATTTGGACATCCTGTTATGTTGGAGCATCTGCTGAGTCTCACTATATGAAAGACGAGAATTGCCAATTTTCAAAAAAAAAAAAAAAAGGAAAAAAAAAAAGGGAGGATGGGATCATATTGTACAACATGCTGATGCTGCCCTGTTCACAAAAGGAAAGTCAAGGTGGGCTTGTAAATCGGCAACTAGTTTGGTTCGTGGTGATTTGGCCGATATGGCATTCGGACAACTCAAAAGGTATATATATTCAGAGGAGAGTTGGGCTTGCAAAATAAGGGATTAGAATTGATTAAGTTCAGTTCGATCTACTGGATTTAAAGCTAACTTTTGACCCTCTTTGTCACAAGAATTATGGCATAGCTCCTCAAGTGTAGCGATGTCACATGCTTAAGAAAAGGGTGGGGGACCCTTAGCATCTGTGGGTAAGGAAAGGAAAAAGGGATTTATTTCCTACAATGCTAGCTATGAAGTCTCGTGTTATGTACTTAAAACTAATTTTATGTTCTTTGTAACGGAATTTAGTACCCATTGAAACGAAATTGAGTAATCACCCATTGTAATCTTGATTTTAATAAATTTGTTCTTCGATGATAAAAAATATATATTCACAGACTTTCCTTTTTGCAAAATAATCAAATGCAATGAATGGTTTTCCACTTTTGCTATTAATTTGCAAGAATAAATTCTTTTCTCATCTCGCTTTTAATAGGTTTCCATAAAATACTAGTAGTGTGGGATACTAAGTATAAGCATCCATTACATGGATTAGCTTTTTGTTGGAATGCTTCAAACTCAACAGTACTACTGGGTCCTCTATTATTCATTTTCCTTAATTATTATTATTATTATTATTATTACTATTATTTGTTTACATAAGAAGTTATTGGGGAAGGAGAATATTTTTCAAACAGTAAGTAAAAATTAAATTTTCAACTAATTGAACCCAAACACTAAAATTTAAGAATGAACCATTAGACTGAAAGTGTGGGTTGCTTAATTTAAGTCCACCAAGCAAATGGGAGCCATTAGTGGGATGCTGCAGTGCTGTACTCTATTTTATGCCAAACTTGAACTTAAGTCCTTGTCACTGTATATATCATAGAGACATATATTCTCTCTGCTTTTGTTTCTTAACCGTTAAATGTGAACGACAAAGGAATAAATAAAGTGGGGTTGACAGAATCTAATTAAATTTTTTTTTTTTGGAAAGAAACATTGTCTAATTTTCTTGTCATGAACCCGAAATTGAAAAAATATCATTCCACCAAGCAAATAGAAACAGGTTATCCACCAAGCAAA